CCCACGCCCTGAGTAAGGGCTGGGGATAGAGCCAAAGTCCCTGCTTCAAGGAGCTTATATTCTAACGTGGGACTACAATCTGTAAATAAAGATATACCATGTCAGTGGTTATGTGCTGGAAGGCAAAATCAAGCGGGTCAGGGGCATATGACTGATGGGATGCATGCTATTTTATATATACATTGGTCAGGCACAGCCTCTGTGATAAAGTGACATTTGAGCAAAACTTCTAATGAGGGAGGGAGGGAGTGAGTGATGCAGCTCTCTGGGCCAAGAGCTTTCAAGGCAGTGAGAAGAGCATGTCAGAAAGCCTAAGATGGGAGCAACTGTGGCCCAGTGCTGTTGGACCCATGCGAGCCACAGGAGGGAGGAGTGGAGAGGTGCCTGTGAGACTCGGTAAAGACATTGGTAGTTACCCTCAGGAGGGGAATCATTCAAATTTTGAGAAACTAGAGGAGTGATGTGGTTTGACTTAGGCCTTACAAGGATCACTCTGCTGTACTGACCGTAAACTGCATGGTGGCCAGTTAGGAGGCAATAGGCATGGTCCAGCAGACTGGGAGGGTGGACTGGATCACAGGGCAGCGATGGAGATGGTGAAAAGGGGTCAGATTCTGGATACGGCCACGGGATTCATCGATGGATTGGATGTGAGTTTTCAGAGAAAGGAGTTTGTAAAGTGACTCCAAGGCTTTTGGCTTCTAAATGAAGATGCTTGTTCTAGGGGGTGGGGTGGGGGAAGCAATTGAAGACTGGTGGGCTCAGTCTAGTCTTTTGGAGTCTGAGAGCTGCTTCACTGAATTCGTTTGTGTAAGGGTTTGGCTGGTGAGAAAGGACCAGAAGCTGGAGCCAAAAGTGGGATAGAGCTGGTGGGTACTATGTCTAGAGCGAGAAGCCATCTGTAGGTCAAGGCCAGAAGTTTAGATTGATAGGAGAATGCAATACTGAAGGCAGTGTCAAGGTCAGAATCCAGGGTTCGGTACAATTTGGGTGGCAGTGGGCAGTAATTCAAACAGGACAAGCGCAATGGTGATTTATTAAGTACTAGGCATTGGCCAGGCGCAGTGGCTCACGTGAGCCTGTAATCCCAGCACTTTGGGAGGCCGAGGCGGGCAGATCACAAGGTCAGGAGATGGAGACCATCCTGTGAATGGTGAAACCCTGTCTCTACTAAAAATACAAAAAATTAGCCAGGCATGGTGGCGGGCGCCTATAGTCCCAGTTACTCGGGAGGCTGAGGCAGGAGAATGGCGTGAACCCGGGGGCTGGAGCTTGCAGCGAGCCAAGATCACACCACTGCACTCCAGCCTGGGCAACAGAGCGAGACTCTATCTCAAAAAGAAAAATAAATTTAAAAAGTACCAGGCATCATGCTAAAAAGCCTGTGTGTACAGTATGTCATTGAATTCTTACAACTCTACGAATTAGGTATCATTAGCTCTACTTGACAAATGAGGAAAATCAAAAGGTTGAATAACCTCTCCAAGGCCACAAGGCTTGTAAGCAGAAGAACAGTTTTAAGCTTTGATTGGATCTGACTCTGCAGCATGTGTGCCTAAACACTATGCAATGCTGCAAGGTTCAATGTACCAGCTGGCAGCTGAGGTTGCCTCAGAGGTTCAAGTCAGGAGGGTGTGGGATTGGTAAGTCCAGGTGGAAGCAGAGTCTAAATGTACAGACGTGGCTCCAAGTTTGTGGTTTACATTAGGCATGAAGAAACAGGCTTGGACTGGACTTTGAACCAGGAGACTGGGAGCAGCATCTCAAATCTGGCACCAGTGTTCCCACTCACCCAACTACAACAGCACTAAGACCTAATTAGGCAAGATGTTGCAGAGGCTGGCAATTGTAATGGAAAGTCAGTATTCTGCTTAGCTAGGTTTGTGACACTACCACTGTATTATACTCAGATAAACATGTGAATCCAGTGGAATTTCTTTGTTAGACCTCTGCATTATAACTGAAACAGTGCTCTAATGTGGACGATCAAACACCCTTCCCCTTCTGTAAGATATTTGTTACATAGATGTTGGAATCTATGTTGAAAGAGCTCACAAAGATCCTTCTCTTCACCTGGCTTAATTAAGGAGACTGCCCTAGATCCTACAGGAAAGAGCTTCGTGAGTTTGCATTGCTCTTTCAAAGGCAAACAACCCTGGCGTTCCAATACTTTTGCCTTTTTCTCTACCTATCAACTGGTAAGGATGCACTAAACACAAAATTTCATTCTCAGGCTGCTTAAAAGGCACATTTAATGCAGCCAGTTCAATAAAGATAATACAGAAATAAGATCTATTAAGCAAGCACATCCTGGCAAGAGCTAATCGCTGTGCTATTATGATGGGTTAGAATTAAATAAGACACTGTCTGGTTCAGAAGTTGTTTCAGGTCAGGCTCGAGCAATACGCATTTCTAGTTTAATAAGGAACTTAGGCTCACCAAGATCGTGACACCCAAGTGACGGACAGTCAGTGGTAAAACTGGGTCCAGAACTCAGATCTCCTGATTTCCAGTTCAATCTTCTTTCTCTCTACTCAGAAGGTACTAGGATCTGAATGATAAACAATGCTCACATGGAGAGGCATCAGGTAAAACTGCAATTGACTAATACGCCATACATGATGGACCTACTTAGGGTAGAGTTTCTATTGTCTTTTAACTCAATAGTAAGCAGGTACTGAAAAGGCTGGGAGCAGGTCAGCGGTTCAGACAACTGTCCACTTGCTGACTAGACCACTAACTAAATGTGCTCTATATAAAACACACCAAAGCATTGAATGGAAAACAGTACCTGCAAATAAAATGATAATTTCATAAGCAATACTATACAGGTGTCTTAACTGAGAAGCAAAGGTGATATTTGCTTGGATTTTATTTGAAAACCCTATTTGATTCATTATCTACTTCTCCTTAGATAAGGCTCCCAGTATAATTACATAATTGGCTCAGCCTTTAAGATTTAAAGCCTCTGTTCCCAAGCTGCAGTGGCTGCAGCAGTAGGAAATGAGAAACAAGGCGATCTCATATTGAAGTGGCTACGTAAGGATCCCTAAGGTGTAGTCATGATTTCCAGCCATGCAGTTGTTTGGAATTAGAAATCCTGATTTCTACTGTAAACTGAACATTGCAAAGCTGGTAGGATTAATTCAGTGGAAGAAACTTGGTTTCTTGTTTGGAGGCGTGTGGATGAATAGGAACTCTTGTGCATTGCTGGCAGGAATGTGAGTCAGTACAATCACTTTTGGACAGGGATATGGCATCTTCATAGACTTGAAGATACGTTGCAACTCTACTCCTAGGTTATCTGCCCTAAAGACACTCTTTCTTACACATGTTCACAAGAATTCTCACTGCAAAGATGTTGGTAGAAGCAAAATTTTGGAAGATGTCATTTAAAAAAATATGTTGTGGCGTAGCAATTAAAACTAAAGCTATCAGGCAAATGATAGAAAGAGCAGGGGTGGCCATACTCATGTCAGAAAAAAATGCTTTACAGTGAGGCACAATGGCTCACACCTGTAATTCCAGCACACTGGGAGGCTGAGGAAGATTGCTTGAGCCCAGGGTTCAAGATCAGCCTGAGTGACATGTGGAGACCCTGTCTCTATAAACACATTTTAAAAGAACTATAAAAAAAAAATTTAAAAACTAGCTGGGCATGTTGGCTCATGCCTGTGGCTCCAGCTACTCAGGAGGCTGAGGCAGGATTGCCTGAGCCTGAGAAGTCAAGGTTGCAGTGAGCTATGATCATGTCACTGCACTCCAGCCTGGGCCACAGAGTTAAGACCCTGTCTCAGAGTAGAGAACCCAGAAATAAATTCTCATCTATATGGTCAAATGATCTTTGACAAAGGTGCCAGCTACCTAGGTACTCAAGAGGCTGAGGTGGGAGGATCACTTGAGCCTAGGTTCAAGGTTCAGTGAGCTGTGATCACGCCACTGCACTTCAACCTGGGTGGCAGAGCAAGACCTTGTCTCTTTGAGTGTTTCATCTTCATTACCCTATAAAGATACTTTGATTGCAAGTGGGGACAAAGTAAATGGCACATAAAATTTTTATTGCAAATTTGACTTTACAATACTTAGTACTCAGCCTGGGTCACCCTAAAGCAAGCATATTTTATATAAACGGTTTCAGTTTTATTTTCTTTTTTCTTTGATGACTATGTTTTGACTTTTTAATGCCAACAAGTCAGATCATTGTGTAGATGGCCACTAAACTGCCAAGGTGACAGTAACAAATGTGGATTAAGCCCAGGAGCCAAGTTTCCCAGTAAGAAAAATCCTAGGCCTCCTTCAGGGAAGACAGCATTTGAGTCAAAGCTAATTATCCTCAAAACGAACATAGACTTGCAAAAAAATGGTTATAATGGAGAATCAGGGACCAATGTCTGCTGCCCGTTGCTTCCTTTACCTCCTGTCTGATGCTCTTATGACACTCAAAGCCTCCGCACTTGTCACCCCACCCAGATCCAACTACAAGTGTCCCATTTCCCCCCGCCCCACAAATCAATTCTCATGACTGCACTTCAGAGCTTGTCCTCTTAAGGTAATCTATGTTTAAATTCATAACGTGGACAGTATTCAACCAGAAAACAAAAAAAAATATATATATATATACACACATGGCTTTGAGAAGGTAGGCGGGCAGATATTAACAGAATTGGTGTTGTACAGAACAAGGATGAAAGAAAAGTGAGGATGGTTTTATAGCTGGATAGGTACAAGGGTAAGTTCATAAGCAAAGATGTATTACGGAGCAAATACTTCTCAAGTTTTCTCTGACTGCACAGTTCAAAGATTCAACTACACATTTTACCTAACAGTTTTGAAATACTATAAAGCCTTATTCCATTCTAATGTGTGATGGTTTAAGTCAAAAGACTTCAACCTTCTCAGCCTTTCAGACTAGCAATTTATAGCCATAATTCAAAGTGATTCTGGTAGTAATTTTCATTCTAGCAGAAAATTTTCATTAATCCAAGAGTGAAACAGGAGCCGTATTTGCTGGCCATGTTTTATTTGTCCTTTTTCTTCAAACAGGATAACCGAAGATACAGACAGTATTCAATAAAATAAAATAGATGAAACAAATTCTAAGAGACTGCGATGCCACATGCTACGTTTAACCTAATTTTATTCATGCTTGCCTTGGGATGGGGAATAGATCATTCAGTAAAAACATACAGTAAAAACAAAATGTCTTATCATGTACAACTTTTAAACTACAATAATGATGTACCTTAATTACTTCCATGCACACAAGTCTAACATTCGTTTTTTTTAAAAAATAAACACAATTAAGACTTCTAGGAGCATTTTATAATAAAGTAATTCCTAATTAATTTTTCTTTGTAGATAGATCAAGCACCTCCAAAATACAAATTCCTATACACAGTGAGCACGTTACTTAAAATGAACACTTAAGTAAATTAAGTACGTGGACAGCCTTAGGATAAGCTGATATTATAGATTCAGCTAGGTAGGCAACAAACCATAGTGCCAAATGGAAAAAGTGTATTTGCAAATAAATTTTAAAAACTAAGTTAATTTTTATAATTAAATACAGAAAATATACTGATTTGCTAAAATAAATAAGATGTGATGTATTAACACTTCACTATAAAGAATGCATATCAGAACATTTATAAACAGTGAATGAGTTTTTATTAAGAATAGTTTACTACAATAAACGCTGGCTAAATAGAAGTGCATTTTGTGAAGCACTATGGGTGGTATATGTTTTGCCACATACTCTTGTTACCTTGAGGTAGATAACACATGTGTACCAAATTCGGCATTCATTTTCAGTTGCTGCTGGTATCATGTGTTTTAAGAAATGTGTACAGTATGAAAAACTTGAAAATACTCATGAATGAAAAATGTCTTAGGAAAAAAATAGCTATTTTCATGCAATTATGTACAGTCTCACTGTGTAAATTTCAAGGCAAGGTTTGTTTCCTGTAAAACAGATCATTGTTCTATGAGAGAATGTTCTTTACTTGTCTTAGTGCATTTCTTTTCTCCTCCTGCATTATTTTGCTCTAGTCTTTACTTTTGTGTGCAAATGACATGCCAGTTAAAATGAAAACTCTCACATGTAGAAAAAGAAAGTCTGGATTTTAAAAACCAAGGAACTCATAAAATCCTTACTAAATGACACCATCTGATTCAAGTAAAAAATGACTTAAACACTAGTAATAAAAAAAAGACAACACATTTCATGAATACAAAGACAAATGTCTGCTGAGTGTTTTAGTTCAGATGTTTCAGAATGCTGCTGTATGTTTTATGAGGAATTTGAGGGGAAGATTTCATAGCAGAAGGTGTTAATGTGGCCTGTATTGACTTAAGTGGTGACCCAACTGGACTGTGAAACTGCGGGATGCCTATGGACTCGAGCTGCTTGTTAAAGAGGAACTCCCCACTGTTGTTCAGAAATCCTGCCTCATGTCCTCTCTCCCCAAGCTTCCCATCCTCTACTGGCTCAGTTTCTAGCATTTCAGTATCTTCTTTCCTGCTAAAGAACTTGTCCAAGTAACTAGTGTAAGTGTTTTCCTTCTCAGCTTGTTCATCCTTCCTTACCTCACAAAACTGATTGATGAAAAAACAGTCCTCCCCACCACTCACAAACTGGCTGTCCCAAGAAGATTGGTACAAGGCTTCTAATTGAGCCAGATTTGCCATTCCTTTTTCCTGTTTTTCTTGGCTTACTGACTTTGATATCAAACTTTTCAATTCTAGTTGGGACACTGAGCTATTCAAGTCATTTAATTTATCAACAACATCAGTAGGCTCATGTTGGGAACTAAGCTGAATAGTTCCTGCAATAAAGGAATCAAAATCAAATCCCTGATTCTTTTCCCTTTCTTTTCCAGCCAGTTGCTGTGATGCTTCCTCTAGCGCTATCTGGGCTTTAACCAATCCATTCCTTTCACATTTTGATTTGCCTTTCTTATCAGATTTTTCTTTGCTTTGTTCTTTCCAATTGGAAAGATCTATAATAAGCTTGGGTTCATAGTAATGGTTAACTTCACTCTCTCTCCAAACTAAGTTATCTAAATATGATGACGACCTCGTTTTGTAGTTACAAGTATGGCTACACTCCAGATCACAATATTTGTTTTCATGATGATCTGAGTATTGCCAACAAGGCTCAGTAGAGTAACTGGTATCAAAAGCAGGATCCTCTAGATACTTTTCCCGATCTCCATCCAAATATTTTCGGGGATCAACTTGTACTTCTTCTTCATCAGTGACATCGGACAGAGCTCTTGGATCAAGCTGAACCTCATCAATATCAAAGTTGTTATGTATAGGCCAATCATGCTCTGAAAACTGACAATCATGATACCTGAAAAAAATCAATACACTAGTGTTATTCCACGTATATGATTTCATTTTCAAATTCACCGAGTACTTTTTATGTGACAGCACTGTGCTAGGTCTATGAGGGGATAATTATAGGAGAATAAAGTCGTATGCCTGCCTTGCCCTACCAGAACTTAGTCTTGATAGGTAAGCTCTGTTAACATATTTGGTAATTGCCAATGAAGTATGTAACTTCATGAGGAACTGAGTCTTCCATTCTGAAATAAGACCAATTCTCATTTATTTTCAATTTGTTTTTTGTCCACCAGTTTCATGCAAACAAAAGACTTCATGGCCACAAAATGCACATCTCGAATCTCAATCAGGTACCTTACAAATGTTTACAGTAAGGGCAACTAGAAGAGGTTTGCTGGAAAACTCATCACCATGAATAGCAAAAATCTCCCTGTGTATATGTGTTACTGAATGTGCTATCCTATTACTGACATGTACAATCATTGAGGGAAAAGAAAAGAGATTAGATGACTTAGCTAGGTGTAATAGAAAATGCAGGCCAGGTGCAGTGGCTCATGCCTGCAATTCTAGCACTTCAGAGGTGGGCAGACCACTTGAGGTCAGGAGTTTGAGACCAGCCTGGCCAACATGGTGAAACCCCATCTCTACTAAAAATACAAAAATTAGTTGAACATGGTGGCGGACACCTGTAGTCCTAGCTACTAGGGAGGCTGAGGCAGGAGAACTGCTTCAACTCAGGAAGTTACAGTGAACAGAGAGATGGCGCCACTGCGCTCCAGCCTGGGCAACAGAGTGAGACTCTGTCTCAGAAAAGAACCATATTTAGGGGGTAGAAATGGACACATGGAGAGAAAAAATAGTTTGTAGATTTGTGCAAACATACCATACCAATACCTCAATATTTGAGGAGGAGGAAAAAAATTTCTTCTTAAAATCTTAAGATTGTCATTAGTGGTTCCCAAACCTGGCCATACATCAAAATCACCTGATGACTCTATAAGCTACCATCCTACTCTGAAGCAGAATTATATCTAAACTTTCCCAGAAATGTATTTATTATTTATTTGAGACAGAGTCTCACTCTGTTGCCCAGGCTGGAGTGCAGTGGCGCAATCTCAGCTCACTGCAACTGCCGCCTCCCAGGTTCAAGTGATTCTCCTGCCTCAGCCTCCTGAGTAGCTGGGACTACAAGCGCCTGCCACCAAGCCTGGCTAATTTTTGTATTTTCAGTAGAGACAGGGTTTCACTGTGTTAACCAGGCTGGTCTCGAACTACTGATCGCAGATAATTGGCCCGCCTCGGCCTTGCAAAGTGCTGGGATTACAGGCATGAGCCACCGTGCCCAGCCAAACTTCCCTAGAAATCCAATTCTTTCACTTTATGAAACATCAAATTATACACTAATGTTTAGACTTCAAAAAGTCCCTTTTACTGAACCTCTGTTAAGTGTCCCCAAATTAATTTTGTCATTAGGAAAATAGATTCAAATACTGTCTGAGTATGGTGAATCATGCCCATAATTTCAGCACTGTGGGAGGCCAAGGCAGGCAGATCACCTGAGGTCAGGAGTTCGAGACCAGTCTGGCCAACATAAAACCCCACCTCTACTAAAAATCAGCCGGGTGCCTGTAATCCCAGCTACTCAGGAGGCTGGGGCAGGACAGTGAGCCAAGATCGCGTCACTGCACTCCAGCCTGGGTGAGATTCCATCTCAAAAAAAAAAACAAAACAAAAAAAACTGCATCTAACATTAGTCAAAAATAATATTTACCTTAAGATGTAACTACCACTGAGACACTGGAGATATTTTACTGGATATGATTGAGTCTTGTCATCTAACATCTTAAATTGTTCTGACATTCATAAAATGATTCACTTCCAACCTTCACAGTTTAAGGACTTTATAATTTTATTTACTAAATATGCCTTAATGACTTTGAAAATGTTTCAAAGTAGCATTTAACTTTTCCCATCATGTATCATCTAACCAGTAATTACTTTATTAAATATTTAAATTAACGGCTATTTAAGGATCATTACTAAATTTTTCTTTTTCTTTGAGATGGAGTCTTGCTCTAGGCCGGGTATGGTGGCTCAACCCTGTAATCCCAGCACTTTGGGAGGCTGAGGCAGGTGGATCACGAGGTCAGGAGATCCAGACCATCCTGGCTAACATGGTGAAACCCCATCTCTACTAAAAATACAAAAAAAAAAAAAAAGAAAGAAAACTAGCTGGGCATGGTGGCGGGTAGCTGTAGTCCCAGCTACTCAGGAGGCTAAGGCAGGAGAATGGCGTGAACCCGGGAGACAGAGCTTGCAGTGAGCCGAGATCACGCCACCGCATTCCAGCCTGGGTGACAGTGCAAGACTCCGTCTCAAAAAAAAAAAAAAGAGATGGAGTCTCGCTCTATTGCCCAGACTGGAATGCAGTGGTATGATCTCTGCAGCCTCTGCCTCCTGGGTTCCAGTGATTTTTCTGCCTCAGCCTCCCAAGTAGCTAGGACTACAGGCACCCGCCCGCCACCACACCTAATTTTTGTACTTTTACAGTACTAAATTTTTAAGACTTCTACATTGTCTTATATATAATATTAGAAAAGTCACTACATACAGTCCATTGAAAGTTCAGTAAATATTTTTCTAATTTAGGATCACTTTACCTTTCCCAGTTATAAATGTGACTGTGAGTTTCATCCATAAGCAAAATATCATCAACTTCATCTTCAATATGAAAAGGATGGCTTGAAATTGGCTCATCCATTGGAAAAGAATATATGCTCATGTAAGGATGGGAGAGCGCTTCTTCTGCTGTTAACCGATCCATGGGACTAAATGTCAAAATTTGTTCCAGGAAATCCAGTGCTGCAGAAGAAAAGGTAAAAGTTTTTGAGAAAAGAACTGCTTACCTTTAGAAAAACAGCAAATGTTGATCTCATTTATTTAAATGACTAGCTAAGTGATTCCCTTAGCACTTCACACTACACAACAGGAAATCAGCATCTTAATTGTACTAACAGGTCCCCATCTTATAAAGGGGAAAAATAGACTACACAATTAAAAAGTTAATTGGTCAGAAATAAAACTCTGGTTTTATTTAGGACTCTGGTTAACCACAAATCCAATTCTTCCAATAAAACAGGCTAGTAGGCCTTCCTCAGCTCCTCACGCAGCCTGAAAGCTGTATTTACACCAGTCACACACTTCTATGCCTTATGATACCGACCTTCAACCCTGGATCATCACCACCATCTACTCTCTGGCCACACACAACAGATGAAAACTAGCTGCAATATCCCATATCTGGCTCATTACAAATTCATACTAAACAATTTCATTGTGACCTTTGCTATCTGGCCTTCTCTTTATACTCCAGTCTTCTTTATCATTCTCAACAGATAAACCCACTTCGTATTTGTCTCAATCCTCATACTTCTTCACTATGGTCACTCACACATCCTCTTATCCTTGCCTTCTAAGTGAGAAAGATGGCCTTTCTCTCTCAAGCCAACCTGTACTCTAAAAAGAACCCATTCTTTTCTTTAAAAAGAGAATTTTAAGACACAGGGTCTTTGCTCTGTTGCCCAGGCTGGAGTACAATGGCATGATCACAGCTTATTGTAGCCTTGAACTCCTGGGCTCAGGGGATCTTCCTGCCTCAGCCTCCTGAGCAGCCAGGACTACAGGAATGCTACAATGGTGCTGAAGCATGCTAAGATAGAGAAATGTACGGTAAACCACAGAAAGGGAGGATGAAAGGTAAGTATTGAGGGAAATTAACCAGAGTAGGGCTCCTAGGAGTCTTATAGGTTCACTCAGATGTACTTATTCCTGTTTGCTTTTTTCCTTCAAAGATCATAGAGTGTGGGGTGAGAACACGTATTCTTTTTACCAAGTTGCCACTGCCTCAGAATGTGCTCTGTCCCAAAATAAAACTCCACTGTTAAGAAGAAAGTAGTATGGAGCGTATAATTGATAAATCTTTAGTCTCAGAAACTCCATCCACTCTGCGTTCACTTGCTTGCAAGCACAGTGCTGCCACATGTGACCAAGGATCTTTGCTCAATGGTTAATCCCAGTCACTGGCCAAATATTCAGTTTAGTTCAAAGTTAAAACATGGTCCCCATCCTAAGGAGGGTATGAAAAAGATTCAAATAGCATTATACAGCAAGGTTACAAATGCTTCAACAGCACCATCCTCTTGGTGAGACTCAGCAATAAATGACGATGACTCTAAAGTGGACCCAGGTTATGGCTGAGCAGAGCCACACCTGCAGAGGGTATGCAGACACCCACCCTGTTCCCCACTGCACCTCCCAATTCGAAATTGCTAGTTTGCATTTTAAAAGTACTCCTTGGCCAGGTGTGGTGGCTTATACCTGTAACACTACCACTTTCAGAGGCTGAGGCGGAAGGGATGCTCGAGCTCAGGAGCTCAAGACCAGCCCGGGCAACACAGTGAAGACCCTGTCTCTATTTTTCAATAAAAAATAAAAATAAAAAAGTGTTCCCACAAAGGACTTATTTAGTTATGAACAGGGATGTTGTGACAGTGGCTACAGGGTTACGAGAAAGGGAGCTAGCAATGGAATTTGTGAAGACAGACTCAAAGACTGGTTAAGAATGTGGAACTACTGAAAAGTCTGCAAAATCTGCTGAAATGAAACACAGCAGCTTTCTCTTTATCCAGGCATTTATAGGAGTTACAAGTATATCTGAGGAAAAAATGCCATCATGGTTTTTCACCCAGTGCCTATATTCAAAATACTTGCTACTTGCTCTGGAAAGTAATTCAGAGGAACAAAAAAACAGATCGTAGCCTAAGCACCAGGACAGAAAAAAAAGGGAGATGAGAGTCGAAGTTTTAGGTACACCTTAAGTATAAAAAGACTATTTGGGAGAAAGCCCCATATCTAAGGATAAAAAGTTCCAGCTCCCTACACAGATTTCTACTTCACACACAGGCATGAATGTGAGGGCCACTCTCATGTCACAATACCTTCTCGACTAATTCCTGGAAGCAGCTGAGTTAAAGGTTTGTGTGGCTCAGTCATGTCATTTCTAATGTAAACTGGAATTACGCTGAGAAGCTCCTGACGATCTTCCTCATGTACAACAGGAATAGATTCTAAAATCAGCTGCATCTGTTCAAGTTCATGTGCACCTGAGGTAAAAAACAAAACAAAAAAAACACTAAATACAACAAACACATTCCTCAATGTTTACTTATTTCATAATAAACATAAATTATATTATAATGACCAGTGGGGGGAAGTTTGAATTGAATCATCAGGTTTCACTGCTTTGACTATCACCAATCTACTTACCTATTTCCATTTCTGCTCACTGATATATTTAGTTTTAGCTGCTTTGTTTCCACAGGGAACTGACTCTTAAGTTTGGTCTCATATTAAGGTTATCACAGACTAATGAAAAAAAAGCAACTGAGATTTAAGAGATCTAGATTCTGGTCTTAACTGTACCACTAATTAACTGGCTATAACTTCAGAGACAACAGCTAACATCTCTAGGACTTAATTTCACCATCAATGAAATGAAGGGTTGGACTAGACTTTTAAAATGAGAAGTTTTGTAGTTCTTTGTTAGGGGTCAGTATTTCTAGGCTGTTAGGCAATTGAAGAAATAAAGGGGGAAACTAGGCTAAATAGGTGACTTTTAAAAATTCCATTTGCTGTACTCCAGCATGGATGACAGAGTGAGACCCTGTCTCAAAAACAATAAAAATTCCACTTGTCTTTCCTTTAATGTCTATAAATGCATTGAACATTCAAAAATTTTGTTAGTTCCTACTATGAGCAGGACACTTCAGAATACAGTTGTGAAACAAAACAGACCAAGTCCCTGCCTTCATGGATCTTACGGTGACATATGCTATAAAGAAAAAGTAAGCTAAGGGTGATAGGACTGTCGGGAAGAATAGGGCTGTTAATACTTAAAAAAAAAAAAAAAAAGAAAAAAAAGTGAAGAGTTGGAGACCAGCCTGGCCAACATGGTAAAACCCCATCTCTACTAAAAATGCAAAAATTAGCCGGGCATGGCGCATGCCTATAGTCCCAGCTACTTGGGAGCCTGAAGCACAAGAACTGCTTGAACCCTGGAGGAGGTTGCAGTAAGCCAAGATCATGTTACTGCACTCTAGCCTGGGCAACAGAATGAGAATTGATTTTTGTTTTGTTTTAAGACAAAGGCAAGCCTCACTAAGAAGTGGAAAATTAAAGAAGTGGGGAATACACCAAACATTCATATGGAAGAAACAAAGGAGTTCTAGGGAGATAGAGAGAAGCCCAGGGGAGACAGGCAGGTTGGTATGTCCAAGAAACAACGATTAGATAAGCCTAGCAAAAGTACAGTAGCTTGGAGCACACAGTGGGAGATGAAGTCAGAGTGGTACTAGAACAAAGGGTCAGCTTTACCCTGAGTTTGATGGAAAGCCATCATGCAGTTTGAGCAGAGATACGACACGATCTACCTTATCTTTCAACAGGATCACTCTGGCTGTGATGTGGTAACTAAAGACAGCACATACTGAAGCAGGAAAGAGAAGGTCCTTCTAACAGGAGAGACATAATGGCTGACTGGACTTGGGGAGGGATAGTAAGAGTGATAATAACAAGCTGTTTACTTTTAATTTTTTTTTTTGAGACGGAGTCTAGCTCTGTCGCCCAGGCTGGAGTGCAGTGGCCAGATCTCAGCTCACTGCAAGCTCCGCCTCCCGGGTTTACGCCATTCTCCTGCCTCAGCCTCCCGAGTAGCTGGGACTACAGGCGCCCGCCACCTCGCCCGGCTAGTTTTTTGTAATTTTTTTTAGTAGAGACGGGGTTTCACCGTGTTAACCAGGATGGTCTCGATCTCCTGACCTTGTGATCCGCCCGTCTCGGCCTCCCAAAGTGCTGGGATTACAGGCTTGAGCCACCGCGCCCGGCCGTAACAAGCTGTTAAGAGTCTGGATATGGTTTGAAGTAAGAGCCCACAGATCTGTGCTAACAGACTAACAGAAGTGAAGGACAATGACAAGATTTTTGTCTAAGCAACTGAAAAATGGAGGTACTGGTTTGCTAACATGAGGAAGATAGTAAAAACAAAGTATGAGGAAGAAATATCAGAGGCCCAGTTCTGGGTAGGTTAACTTTTGTTATTAAACATTTGAGTGGAGATACTGAGTTAAGGAACCTGGAATTCAGACAAGAGGTCAGGGCTGAAGATATACATTCAGAAGTCATCATCAGATATAGATAATTCTTAAAGGAATGAAAAAGAATGAGATTACCCAGGGACTAAGTGAAACTAGAGAAGCAGGGAGCCCAAGGACTGAATCTGGGATACTTCCAACATGAGGCGAAAGAGAAGAACTGGCAAGGGTGACTGGAAAGAAGCCAGGGAAGAACTGAAAAGTGGCATGCCCAAAGACAGCTGAAAAAGCACCTGAAGAGGGGAAGATAAATTGTAACAAATGCTGGAGATGGTTCAAAATAAGGACTTAGAATTGATAAGGGATTTAGCATTATGGAGATCACTGGTGACCTCGATGAGAGTGGTTTTTGGTGGAGGACCAAGCCTGATTGGACAGGGTGAAAGACGGAATGTAAGCAGAGGAATTAAGAGCAGCAAGGATGCACACATCTTTTGAGAAGTTTTACATTCAAAGAGTACAGTAGTATGTGGCAGTAGCTGAGGGACTGCGGGGTGAGGACAGAGATTCTCTTGTAAGACTGGAAAAATTTTATCAATGTTTGAATGAATACTGATAAAAACGATCCAGCAGAAGGGGTAAAGTGAAGATGCGAGGAACAGAAGTGCTAAGCAGGAAAGAGGAAAAATACCTACTGCCCAAGTAGAAGTGTTAACCTGGGACAGGAACACCTACAGAGAGACAATCTGGACACACGAGAGAAATGTACCAAAAAATAAGACTATAACACTTTCTACAGGCTAAAAATACACTGATTTCCAATGAATGCTTGGTCCTTACCTTTTGTTGCTCTGTTCATTTGCACCTTATACCTAATAACCACTCAGATCTCCCTTCATGTTTTTATCTAATGGTTCACTGACAAAAATCAATGAAGCATCTGGCAACTAGAAAAAAACTACAACCTAGATCTTTCTAATCATTTCACAAACTATTCCTATTAAATGTAAAAACTATGCTACTTAAAGAGTTTTAAAACAAATCCAATTATTTTTATTCCTATACTTAATGTCTGAATGTGCACTGAACGTTTAAAAACATTTAAAAATACATAAATACAGCTGAGAGCAGTGGTTCACACCTGTAATCCCAGCACTTTGGAAGGCCGAGGCAGGTGGATCACCTGAGCAGGAGTTCAAGACCAGTCTGACCAATATGGTGAAATCCTGTCTCTACTAAAATTTCAAAACTTAGCCGGGCATGGGGGCGTGCACCTGTAGTCCCAGCTACTCGGGAGGCTGAGGCAGGAGAATTGCTTGAACCTGGGAGGAGGAGTTAGCTGAGCTCATATAAGCACACTCCAGCCTAGTATGACAGAGCGAGACTCCCTCTCAAAAAAAAAAAACCACACACACACACACAAAACCTTTGTATAATCCATGCAGCAGCAGTAGGCACTGACCTCATTTCTATGACTTGGAGCATGACCAAATTATTTTTCATTATATAGACAAATTTGGTTTTGTTCTGAGACAAAGTCTTGCTCTGTTGCTCAGGCTGGAGTAAGTGGCATGATCACAGCTCACTGTAGCCTTGACCTGCCAGGCTGAAGCAATCCTCCCACCTAAGCCCCTTGAATAGCTGGGACCACATGTGTGTGCCACCATGCCCAGCTACATTTTTGTTTTTTTGTCGAGACAGGGTCTCACTATGTTGCCCAGGGCAGGTCTCGAACTCCTGGGCTCAACTGATCCTCTGGTCTCAGCCTCCAAAAGTGCTGGGATTACATGTATGAGTCACCATACCTGGCTTGTTTTTCTGACTTGTTACTGTGGTGGCTTTAAAATGTGTCCACCTGGCCAGGCACAGTGGCTCCTGCCTGTAATCCCAGCACTGTGGGGGGCCAATGCAGGCAGATCACCTGAGGTCAGGAGTTTGAGACCAGCCAGGCCAAAAGGGTAAAAAAATTTAGCTGGGTATGATGGCAGACACCTGTAATCCCAGTTACTTGAGAGGCTGAGGCAGGAGAGTCATTTGAACCCGGGAGGTGGAGGTGGCAGTGAGCCAAGATCGCACCATTGTACTCTAGCCTGGGTGACAAGAGCAAGATTCCATCTCGGAAAAAAAAAATAATTTTATATGTATACACACACACACACACATGTACATACGTGTGTGTGTGTGTGTGTGTATCCACTTAATCCTTGGAGTGGATATCCTTGGAGTGTATGTGTGTGTATCCACTTAATCCATTCGAGAAGGTCAAAAATGAAAAACCGGTCCAAAAATTATTTTGATACTCCTCCCTTTAAAGGGTGGAACTGAACTCTGCTCCCATTGACCATGAAGTGTACTTAGTGACTCACTTCTAACACATAAAATAAAGCTAAAGTTGACAGTATGTAATTTTTGAGACTTGGTCACAAAAAGATATTTTACATGTGTGGTCAACTGATTTTTGATGAAAGTGTCAAGATAATTCAATGGGGAAAGAATCTTTTCAACAAATGGTGCCAGGACAAATGGACGTCCAATGTGTAAGAGTTAATCCCCCTTTTTCTTCCTTCCCCCACCGAATACAGAGTCTTGCTCTGTTGTCCAGGCTGGAGTGCAGTGGCACGATCTTGGCTCACTGCAACCTCTGCCTCCCAGGTTCAAGCAATTCTCCTGCCTCAGCCTTCCGAGAAGCTGGGATTACAGGTGCGCACCACCACGCCCAGCTAATTTTTGTATTTTTAGTAGAGACAGGGTTTCACCACGTTGGCCAGGGTGTTCTCGAACTCCTGACCTCAGGTGATCCACTCTCCTCTGCATCCCAAAGTGCTAGGATTACAGGTGTAAGCCACCGCACCCAGCTGTAAAAGTTAATCCTATAAAACTCTCAGAAGACAACACAGGAGAAAACAACCACGACCTTGGGTCAGGCAATTATTCCTCAGATATGACACCAAAAGCAAAAGGGACAAAAGAAAAAGATAATTGGACTTCAGAATTAGAATCTTGTTTCGGGCCTGGCACAGTGGCTGATGCCTGTAATCCCAGCACTTTGGGAGGCCGAGGCGAGTGGATCATGAGGTCAGGAGTTCGAGACCAGCCTGACCAACATGGTGAAACCCCGTCTCTACTAAAAATACAAAAATCAGCTGGGCATGGTGGTGCGCGCCTGTGATGCCAGCTACTCAGGAGGCTGAGGGAGCAGAATCGCTTAAACCCAAGAGGGAGAGGCTGCAGTGAGCCAAGATTGTGCCACTGTACTACAGCCTGGGCGAGTGCGCGAGACTCCGTCTCCAAAAAAAAAAAAAAAAAACAAAAAAAAACCAACCTGTTTCAAAAGACATAGAGAAAGGAAAGGAAACTGCAGAATAGAAGAAAAACATGTAAATCACAAAAGATTTGTATTCAGAATTATGTAAAGAATTCTTACAACTCAACAATAAAAAGACAACCCAATTTAAAAAATAGGCAATAGATCTGTACAGACATTCAACATCCATTAGTAGGGAAATGCAAATCAAAACCTCAATGAGGCCTGGTGCAATGGCTCCTGCTTGTAATCCCTGCACTTTGAGAGGCCAAGGTGGGCAGATCACTTGAGGTTAGGAGTTAGGGACCAGCCTGGCCAACACTGTGAAACCCCATCTCTACTAAAACTACAAAAATTAGGTGGGCGTGGTGGCGCATGCCTTTGTAATCCCAGCTACCCGGGAGGCTGAAGGCAGGAGAACTGTTTGAACCTGGGAGGCGGAGGTTGCAGTGAGCCAAGATTGCACCACTGTACTACAGCCTAGACAACAAAGCGAGACTCCATCTCAAAAAAAGAAAAAACAAACCACAATGAGATACTACTTCATACCCGATAGGATGGCTATACTCAAAAAGATAAAATTTAACTCTCATGCATTGCTGGTGGGAATGTAAAATGGTACAGCTGTGCTGGGAAACTGTTCTTCAAAAAGTTAAACAGTTATCACACGACCCAGCAATTCCACTCCTAGGTATATATACCCAAGAGAACTGAAAACATTTTCACACAAAAACTTGTACACAAATATTCACAACAGCATAATTCATAATGAAGAAGTGGAAACCCAAATGTCCATCAACTGAGGAATGGATAAATAGCATGTGGTATATTCATAGAGCAGAATACTATTTGCCCATAAAAAGGAAAAAAGTACTAATATATGCCACTATATGGGTAAACCTCCAAAATATTGCTACATGAAAGAAGCCTGTCCCAAAGTCCAAATGTTATCTGAAACAACCAGAGTAGGCAAATCCATAGAGACACAAAGTAGATTAGTGGATGCCAGGGGTTGGGGGAAAGAGGAAATGAGAAGTGACTGCTAATGATTTGCAGGATCTTTTAGGAGCCAAGACAGTGTTCCAAAATTAGATTGTATTATTTACAGAGTATATAACTCTGTAAATATACTAAAAAATATGGAACTGTATAATTTAAATAAATTGTATAGTATGTGAATTATATAACAATACAACTTTTTAAAATAAGATATACTGGCTATCTCCTTGCTGTCTTTTGGATCATTAGTTCTAGAGGAAGCCAGCCACCATATTATGAAGACACTCAAGCAATCCTAAGGAGATGCCCACATGGTGAGGAACCAAAGCCTCTTGGTAACTGTCATGTAAGTAAGCTATCTAGAAGTGGATCCTCCTGCCTTGGTCAAGCCTTCAGGTAACTGCTGCCCTTACCAACATCCTGACTGAGAAAACCTGAGCTAGAACCACCTAGCTAAACCACTCCCACATTCTGACACACAGAAACTGTAAAACGGTAATCAATGTTTGTTGTTTAAGCTACTAAGTTTTGGAGTAATTTGTGACACTGCAACAAACAATACAGAATTGTTTATATATGCTGGAAGGCACTTGATATCAGGAACAGAACCTCTAATCACAGTATTGTTCCTAAGCAAAAATCAATCCATTTAATAATTTAGTTTCCAGGAATCCCTCCGAATTTCAATTTAGAAAACTATCATACATCTTAGATTTTTTTTTTTTTTTTTTGAGACAGTCTCTGTTGCCCAGGCTGGAATGCAATGGCTTGATCCCGGCTCACTGCAACCTCCACTTCCCAGGTTCAAGTGATTATTGTGCCTCAGCCTACCCAGAAGCTGGGATTACAGGCGTGTGCCACCATGGCCGGCTAATTTCTGTATTTTTAGTAGAGACGGGGCTTCACCATGTTGGCCAGGCTGGTCTTGAACTCCTTACCTCAAGTAATCTGCCTGCCGCAGCCTCCCAAAGTGCTGGGATTACAGGCGTGAGCCACTGTGCCCAGCCAGAAATTTTAGATAAATAGAAAAAAATTATAGGCCGGGCGCGGTGGCTCACGCCTGTAATCCCAGCACTTTGGGAGGCCGAGACGGGCGGATCACGAGGTCAGGAGATCGAGACCATCCTGGCTAACACAGCGAAACCCTGTCTCTACTAAAAAATACAAAAAAAAACTAGCCGGGCAAGGTGGTGGGCGCCTGTAGTCCCAGCTACTCGGGAGGCTGAGGCAGGAGAACGGCGTAAACCCGGGAGGCGGAGCTTGCAGTGAGCTGAGATCCGGCCACTGCACTCCAGCCTGGGCGACAGAGTGAGACTCCGTCTCAAAAAAGAAAAAAAAAAAAAAAAAAAATTATAAAGGGCTGGCTGTTATATAAACTAAGTACTGGCATTAACATACTTAAAAGACATTTATGCATGCTGTCCTTTCTTCACCAGTGCTCTCCTATGTACACTAATCTTTCTTATGTAAATAGGCTCTGGCCTATTCCTTTCCTTCTGCTCTTAGCACAGTCTGGGGGTCGGGGGGAACAACTCTAAAAATGGTATGTATAGAGGACAGGGTGCAGTGGCTCACGCCTGTAATCCCAGCACTTTGGGAGGCCGAGGAGGGCGGATCACGAGGTCAGAAGACAGAGACCATCCTGGCTAACACGGTGAAACCTCGTCTCTACTGAAAATACAAAAAATTAGCCGGGTATGGTGGCGGGCGCCTGTAGTCCCAGCTGCTCGGGAGGCTGAGGCAGGAGAATGGCGTGAACCTGGGAGGCGAAGCTTGCAGTGAACAAAGATCGCACCACTGCACTCCAGCCTGAGTGACAGAGCGAGATTCCATCTCAACAACAACAAAAAAGGGTATAGAGGGGGGAAAAGTAATCTCAAAACACAAAAAAAGGCCTTAATCACTATCACACCACTTCCCCAACTAGAAAATCTTCAGTACCCCTACTATTCCTTACTTTTCCATATGGAAAGTCCTCTACCTACTTTCTAAATACTTTCTTATCTGACCTCATCTTAACTAATCATAAATATGTTTATTATTATTTGACAACTTGCATGAATCTCACATTCATGAATGTACCAGGATTATACTTTTATTTATATAGGTACCCTTAGATAACACATTTTCTCCCTTCCCCAATTAAAATTCTTCACTATTATGACTCCATAATGCCTTCCATTCCAGCAATCACTGATGTATAGCTTCTCCAAGTTTACAGCTCTAGTCTATACTAAATAATTTTATACAGATGTATGCTTTGCTTTATGACACAAGACATTTTTCATGGATTATTCATCTCTTCTCATCTTGACAAAGTCCTATCTCACACACTTCTTTAGACTTCTAAATAGCACCAAACTTAACAAAAAATTACTTGTTTGGTTGTTTATAGGGGGAGGAGACCAAGAAAAATTTGTTGGATTTTCAACAATGGCTTAAAATTTTCACCAGGAAGTGATGATACTGACAGAAGTATGCAACTCAAGTATCAACACAGATTACCAACAACTATTATGGGTCCACAAAATATAAAATTATATTTAAACACTAGAGTTCTGATAATTTATGAAGTGACCAATTTAGTGAATATGAATAAGTTTTCTCAATTTTTTGAATAAAAACGCCAATTTATCTGTTCATTTTTAGTATTCTAGATCACAACTAATTATTTTAAACCTTATATGAATCTTGCTTCAGAGATAAATGCAAAATTACTTCTCTTTGGGAAAATTTTTCCCCCCACAAAATACTAACCTGCAAAAAGGGTTTTACCAGTCAGCATTTCAGCAAAGATGCAGCCTGCAGCCCACATGTCAATGGCTTTAGTATAATTATTAGGAGAAAGTAAAAGACGTGGAGATCTGTACCATTTAGTAACCAATCCTTCAGAAAGATGACCCTACAAAAGAAACAAAAAACATTTTTTTTACTTTAGCTAAAAAACAGTACTTAAAACTTGATTAAAGAATCCTTAATCTGCCGAGCGTGGTAGCTCACGCCTGTAATCCCAGCATTTTGGGAAACCGAGCTGGGCGGATCACCTGAGGTCGGGAGTTCGAGGCCAGTATGACCAACATGGAGAAACTCCGTCTCTACTAAAAATACAAAATTAGCCAGGTATGCTGGTACATGCCTGTAATCCCAGTTACTCAGGAGGTTGAGCCAGGAGAATCGCTTGAACCCGGGAGGCAGAGGTTGCGGTGAGCCGAGATCGCACCACTGCACTCCAGCCTGGGCAACAAGAGCGAAACTGTCTCAAAAAAAACAAACAAACAAAAAAAAACACTTTAGTCTTTAACCCCAGCACTTCGGGAGGCCGAGGTGGGTGGATCGCTTGAGGCCAGGAGTTTGAGACCAGCCTGGGCAACATGCTAAAACCCCATCTCTACTAAAAATACAAAAATTAGCCTGGCATGGTAGCACACGCCTGTAGTCCCAGCTACTCGGGAGGCTGAGCTGGGAGGATCACTGAAGCGCAGGAGACAGAGGTTGGAGTGAGCCAAGAGCAAGACCCTGTTTAAAAAAAAAAAAAAAAATGTAAAACTCTAGTTATAGTGTTAACTCTAGGTCACACATTCAAAGTATTTTTCAGATGAGCTGGTTTATACTCAAAGTCTTGAGATAATCAAGGAGCAAGTATGCTTCAAGTCAGAACAGTAGGGAAGAGCACCAGAGGTGCTACTTACAAACCAATGTCAGCCTCCTTACTGACCTCTACTATAAATCTTATTAATAACCAATTTATTCAATTACTTTACAATTACAAAGCACCTTACAAAACCTTATACATATATTGCCTTATTTCATCCTCAAAACTACCCTGAGAGATTGTGACGGTAGATATTAACTCCATTTTATAGGTGTGATGCCCGAGAGATTAAGGGATCTGCTTCAAGTCATATAGCTAGTTGGATGTAGAAATGGAGTCAATTTTAGACAGTATAAGTCTTAGTTCAGTGCTCTATCCACAATACTTCACTGTGGATACAGTAAATACATAAAAAGGACGTGGTCAGTGTTAATAATCTCTTTTCTCTAGGAAAAAAAAAAAAGTGTCTGTGTTGCCCAGGTTGGTCTCAAACTCCTGGCCTCAAGTGATCCTCCTGCCTTGGCCTCCTAAAGCGTTGAGATTACAGGAAGAAGCCACCGTGCTCCCAGCCTAGAACTCATTTTCTACAAAGTTTTTTTTTTTTTTTTTGAGATGAATTTTTGCTCTTGTTGCCCAGGCTGCAGTGCAATGGCGCGATCTCAGCTCATTGCAACCTCTGCCTCCCGGATTCTCCTGCTTCAGCCTCCCAAGTAGCTGGAATTACAGGCATGCACCACCAGGCACAGCTAATTTTGTATTTTTAGTAGAGATGGGGTTTCACCATGTTGTCAGGCTGGTCTCAAACTCCCAACCTCAGGTGATCCGCCTGCCTCAGCCTCCCAAAGTGCTGAGATTACAGGTGTGAGCCACTGCACCTGGCCCAAGTAAAAATACTTTAATATGGGTTGAGCATGGTGGCGGGCACCTGTAATCCCAGCTACTTGGGAGGCTGAGGCAGGAGAATTGCTTGAACCCAGGAGGTGGAGGTTGCAATGAGCTGAGATCACACTATTGCACTCTAGCCTGGGCAACAAGAGCAAAACTTGGTCTCAAAAAAAAAAAAAAAAAAAAAACTTAATGTGAAACAACACATACGAAGATTTGTCTTAGGCATGTACTGTGAAAAGCCAACAAAGCAGGGCTCCCAGGGGTTCTCTACAGCCAAAGCAGCTCCACTTTTCTATTTTAAACATCATGGTCCCACATAAGATTTCATTTCAAAACTAAAAGACCAAGGTTCAGCTTGAAAAATACTAAATTCTTGTATGAAGACCATTTGCTATCTAAGAGGAAGTTGCTGTGAATCTTTTTGGCTATACTTACTACCAATTGTTTATGGGAATTTAGATGTCAAGCTAAATTTAGTTTAAACAAAGCAGAACTGAATACAGTCTCAAAGGGACAAAAGACGACGTAAGTTTGGGTGTGCTGGCATGCACCTTTAGCATCAGCTATTTAGGAGGCTGAGGCCAGAGGATCACTTGAGCCCAGGAATTTGATGCCAGCCTGAGCAACACAGCAAGATCTTGTCTCTAAAAACTTAAAAAAAAAAAAAAAAAAAAGACAAAGCATGATGGTTCACACCTTTGTAATCCTAGCATTTTGGGAGGCTGAGGCAGGCAGATCACTGGAGGCTAGGAGTTTAAGACCACCCTGGCCAACATGGGGAGGCCCCATCTCTACTAAAAATACAAACAAATTAGCTGGGCGTGATGGCACGCACCTGTAATCCCAGCTATTTGGGAGGCTGAGGTACAAGAATCACTGAATCCAGGGGGTGAAGGTTGCAGTGAGCCAAATGGCACCACTGCACTCCAGCCTTTACGACAGAGTGAACTCTGTCTCGAAAACAAAAGACCTAAAAGTTGAAATAGTATCCCCTCTTACCACAATTCTGTCCCAAAGAAAGTATATTCCACTCTTAAATAACTAAGGGAGAATTTCATTTATAATGAATAACCATATACTTTAGAACTTCATTATAATAACCATATATTTTTTAGAAATTTGTATTTAATTATCCCACTCCACCTTCATTTCAAACAGAGAGACTGTGAAAGATAGATTTGTATCAGAAAAAAGGCACTATGTAAAGTTTAATAAGATTAAAAATTCCGCCACAACATACAAAGAAAATGCAGGTACCTATTTCTGATTAAGCGTATCAGTTTAAAGGTCTGTCTCAGCTGGCTTTCTCTACATACCTTATGGGAATAATGAGGATCCATGATCCGTGCAAGACCAAAGTCACCTATCTTCAGCACCAAGTCTTCAGTATTAATGAAAAGATTAGCTGGTTTGAGATCTCTGTGCAGTACGTTTGCAGAGTGAATATACTTGAGCCCCCGTAGCAGCTGATACATGAACAGCCTGGCATGCTCTTCCAGTAAAGGGCCCTGCTCCAGCACATTAGCCAAGTCTGTCTCCATGTACTCCTGAACAATGTAAACACTGTTCAGTTCCGTAAGAGAGCCCACATCGTCTGTTAATTGGCTTCCACTAGGACCAAGAATTTCAAACACTTTCACAATGTTATCATGGTCAAGTCTTCTAATAATTTTGATTTCACGTAGAGCATGTTTGACACTCTGGGGATCAGTAAGGACAATTTTCTTGATGGCTACTCTTTTGTCACAGTCATTGTCTACAGCAGAAAAAACCAAGCCATTGCCTCCACAACCCAATGGTTTTAAGTCCATATACCTAGAACCCAGATCAAAACCATGAATGTTCATGAGACTTTCAAACTTCTCTGCCATTTTGAAACCCTTACTATTGCCTTTTCCTTTCGAATTGAACTTGTGTAAACAAGGAAGAAAACTGGCATCAAAAGGAAAGATCTTTCAAAAAGGGAGAAGAAAAATAATTATGCTTCCACAGCAAGATGGTTTCTTGATGTTCATTGCATATGCCAAACAGGCCTGTTGAGTTCCCCTTAGATTTAAAGCTCAAAAAGCTCTACTCATATTGAGAATTAAAAAGATTGCAGTACTCATAGTTCAAGAAAGGGGCAGCAACTCTGCAGACATTTAAAGAAAACAAGAAACTCAAACGGAATGAAATGACATACTGTGCACTCAGATTACCGTGCTAAACGATTTAACATTTAACAAAAATGTGAATAAATATGCACACAACAGGCTTCTATGAACATTCTCCTCACAGTGCAGATACATTCAGTGTTGGACTGGTCCTGAGCAGCATCATTCTAAGGTGCTGGTAAGCACTATTTCCGTTTTGCTTCTTTTCTTCCTTTGTTGCTATATATTTATTTCAACAGGAAGCTCTGGCGGCTGTTGGTTAACAGAAGATGTCTTTTGTTAGTGATCAGGTGGCTCCAGCTCACCACAATCACAATCAAAGCTACCGTCCATCTTACTCTGATACAACCTGGGGGGATGAGAAAAAGAAGAGAGTCACCACTGCAGGAAATACCCTTTTTTTCAAATGTGTAGTATGACACAAACTGAGCATTTAGCAATAAACTACTACTGGTACATTAAACTTAATGATGGTCATTAAGTGACAAATTACCCTTAATCAAAAATAGCTTACAAAAATGTTATGAGCAATTCACACACGTTGGCCCGGGCTCCAGATTTCACTACGCTAGATTCTTGGTAACACTTATGCTCATTAGGTTGTACCATTTCTGAAATGCCAACAAGTATGGGAAGGTTCATAATATTTTTATAGAACTTGAGTTTTATGAGGGGTAAAACATTAGTAACATCTATCTAAAAGAATATATAAGAAGTCTGCAATGTATTAGTTTGTTAAAGAACATGTTTATTTATTAACTATGCCTATCAATATCCAATGAACAAAAATCTAACAGCACAAATAAGTATGCGAATAATGCTCTTCAATTTATAAAAGTAAACTTGCACAATAATACCTATGAAAAGGTATTTAATGTGACTGATAGGAAAAGATTACCTTAAAAGAACATTTCAGATTGAAAAAACATGCTTCTCTGTTAATGTCAACTCTGAGGGGTGTGGAAAAACAAACTTACACACAATAGTGGTTAGAGTTTAAATTAGTACAAGAACTTCAGAGCAATTTGGCAGAAACATATAAATGAATAAATAAATAGCATACTCTATGACCTGGCCATTTTTCTTCACAGTAAACTCTCTAGAGAAATTCTCATTTTTTTGGTAAAGAAAATTAGAAACAACCTAAACTTCATAAAACAGGAGAACAGATAAGTAGTTATATGCATGCAAAATAGTTTTTTTTGTAAGTACATATGTACATTGCAAAAGTAAAAAAAAAAACGGAAAAAAAAAAGAGACAAATACCAAATTCATAATGATTACTTGGAGGTTATTAAGGAAAGAGACCAGAATCATTTCTCTGCATTTTAATGTGTTATTTATTTTAAAATAACAAGCATGGCAGATTACTAGATTCTTACAGAGCTGGGTGGTATGTATATAAAGGTTCGTTATATCAATCTCTGTTCGCTTAAAATATTTCATACTTTAAAAAATATCCTCTAAAAGGGCAGGAAAAAATAGCCTCAACTCCAGTAGATGGTTCCCTAGCCAGCCTGAAAAAAAATAAATGCAACTTGGTTCTTTCAGTTTCTTAATGGCCTAATCCTTGAATCTGCAGAGTACCCAGAGTACCAGATATAAGGCATTATGGAAAATAAGGTGGTCAGAATTCCTAACAAATAAGACCAGACAATATTTGAGGCAGAAAGAATAAAGTCAACAATTTATTCATTTAATATATAAACATATATTGAGTAACTACTACATGCTAGGCAGGAGCAAACCTGATATGAGCAAAAGGATTCTGGCCCTCAGTAAACTCAACTCATTGTCCAATAGGAGAAAGACAGCTTCAGTAAAAACTGATACTTACTATCCTCCAGTTCTTTTAATAAATGAGAACGGGTCTTGTATCTGCTTAATATGAAGGACACTAATAGTAAAATAGCTTTCTTTTACTGTAACAGATGGCTTCTCCTCTGCAAGTTTTTCTCTGCTTCTCAGAAATCAGCCCCCCTAGCCCGCCAAAAAAAAAAAAAAAAAAAAAAAAAGTCCTAAAAATTCTGTAGCTTACCAGTCTATTTGTAACAAAACACTTAAAAAGTTTGTGAATAAACTTTTGAATTAAAAAAATATTTCAAGGCTGGACACGGTGGTTCACGCCTGTAATCCCAGCACTTTGGGAGGCCGAGGAGGGAGGATCACGAGGTCTGGAGTTCAAGACCAGCCTGGCCAATACGGTGAAACCCCATCTCTACTAAAAATACAAACAGTAGCCGGTCGTAGTGGCACATGCCTGTAATCCCAGCTACTCCGGAGTAAGGCAGGATAACTGCTTGAACCAGGGAGGTGGAAGTTGCAGTGAGCTGAGATCACGCCATTGCACTCTAGCCTGGGCGACAGAGCGAGACTCTGCCCCCCCGCTCCCCGCCAAAAAAGTCAAACAACTTAAGTCCAACATATCATTTGCCATTATCCAGCTGAGCCATTAGTCTTGTCTTCGGTCTTTAGCCACTGGATTTTCAATGCTGTTATGTGATCTAGCCCATGTGATTATGGAAGTAAGTAATAAAAATACATTTTGGGGCCAGGCGCGGTGGCTCACGCCTGTAATCCCAGCACTTTGGAAGGCCAAGGCGGGTGGATCTCCTGAGGTCGAGAGTTGGAAACCAGCCTGACCAACATGGAGAAACCCTGTCTCTACTAAAAATACAAAAATTAGCCCAGCATGGTGATGAGTGCCTGTAACCCTAGCTACTTGGGAGGCTGAGGCAGGAGAATTGCTAGAACCTGGGAGGTGGAGGTTGCAGTGAGGTGAGATCACGCCACTGCACTCCAGCCTGGGCAACAGCAAGACTCCATCTCAAAAAAATAAAAATAAAAATAAATTTTTGTATTGGTAAAAGTTTCAGATTTTTAAAAAGGGCTTTAATACTGCGTCTCCCTCCCACCAAGGTTTTTCTGTTTGTACACATCTTGATTCTTCCTGCTCCCCAGGAAATACCCTAGGAAAACCAGTTTGTTTGTTTGTTTGTTTGAGACAGGGTATTGTTCTGTCATCCAAGCTGGAGTATAGTGGCCTGATCACTGCAACCTCTGCCTTCTGGGCTCAAGCGATCCTCCCACCTCAGCCCCTCAAGTGTCTGGGACTACAGGCAGGAGCCACCACACCAGGCTTTCTTTTTCTTTTCTTTTCTTTTTTTTTAAAATATAGGTGCTGCTGAGGCAAGCAACACACACGGCTAATTTTTGTATTTTGTAGAGACAGGGTTTCACTATGTTTCGCAGGCTGGTCAAGAAAACCAGTATTTCTCAAAGGCTTCACTATTTCCAAAATTTTACATCTCTAGTCTCTACCTGAAATAGAATGCTTGTTCATGCCTACCCTTCCTGCCTTAACGTAAACAATTCCTTAAAGCTCAGTCATGTTTTACATTTCTGACTGTAAAATCAGTTCCATAGACAAATGAAATAAGAACAGTAAGATCTCCCAAGTTCTCTCTCAAACTTCTACTTCACTAGCAATCTAGTCAAGCACAAATGCTTTGTCAAAAATTACACCACTGTTATCTGACAGAATAGCACTATAGTAGGCGTTGTAGCCAGATTAGGAAAGCCATGAAAATGAGAGATCCTTACTTAAGGCCTCCATCCACATCTGCCCCACTTAAATTTTATTGAGACCAAGAAGCCTCACAAACTAGAAACTTCAAGGAGTGCCTTTTCAGAATTATCAGTGACTGGTCAGCACTTAACGAGGTAGAGTAGGTAAAAAATGATACTAGGGAAGGTAGGAGCTTTGCCTACACTGAGAACTGCAGAGCCATCACTATGTACTCAGATGATGAAGACTATACATTCTAACAAGAGAAGGTAGTATTTATAAACCAAACTGTAATTCCACTAGACAATGAGGATTATACCAATTAAACACCTGGGAGGGGAAAAGGATTTACAATGGCAGTGCTTGTTCAGTGATTCTGCCTCATTGCTCTGTGAGTAGTAGTCTTCAGGATCCTTCACTATCCATTAGACCAAATGCTGCTGGAGCGCCTTTTCAGCCAGGATGTTGGAAAGTAGACCCACCTTAATTAGTAAGTTGGGAGTCATGCTGTACCTCTACATCATACAGTGGGTCCATTAAGTGTTTACAATTCAGTCATATTCCATTATTCGGTAAGTATTTGGTAAGTATCTGTGTCAGTCAATCCCTTGGCAATGGGGATAAAATGGTGAGTAAAGAGAGACTTGGGCTCTGCCTTCGTGGAGTTTATCGTGTGACTAGAGACAATTTTTTTTTTAAAGAAGAAAAGTAAACAAGGAAATGAAGAAAGGACAAGTGGTACCAAGGAATGCTACAAGATACTACTGAGAGTCTGCACATTGGGGGTCTGACCTGATTAAGAAAGTCAAGATGTGTGTGCCTGGTAGCCATAAAAAAGGCAGAGTAGGCCGGGAGCGGTGGCTCAAGCCTGTAATCCCAGCACTTTGGGAGGCCGAGACGGGCGGATCACGAGGTCAGGAGATCGAGACCATCCTGGCT